ATCCGAACCTGTGGCGGGAGCGCTGCTGCACTCCCAGCGCTGCACTCTCCCAAGTGTGCCATGGGCTCGGCCCCCAAGTCTAACTTTTTATTTTGTCGACCCAACCTTCAACGTTTTGGGTTGGGGCCAAAAAGTGAGGACAGAGGTTTTACTTAAAATTTTTAATTTGCTTTTTGAACTGGGTCATAGAGTCCAAATATAGTGAAATATATATTTTTCCAACTCTTTCCTCAGCTCCCCTTTTCCCCTCTGCAGAGGGACCAAAGACATATAAGTTTTAGATTCAGAAGAAGATTAGGAGGTCATCTAACTTAATCCAAGGATGGGAGCCTTTAAATTAAACCTTCTGAAATCTAGTCTCTTCCTCAAATATAAATTATTACACTCCTTTAATTATATATTTTTTGTTGTGGTTGTGTTTTGTTTTTGTTGGTTTGTTTTTTACTTCCTCCTTCCCTCCCTCCCTTTTTTAAAATTTGTGCCTTGTTTTTGGCAGGTACCACAAGAGCCAAGCCATCTATTTGGAGTCAAAGGATAACCAGAAGCTAAGCTGTGTGATCAGCTCTGTTGGAGCCAATGAGGTAGGGACTGTACTTGCTCATGCTTAGGAAAGCAAAATGTGCTCTGTGAAGTGTTGAAAATATGACAAACCTGAAATGAAAGTGCCACCAAGAAAGTACACTGGAGTCATGTCTTTCATGTGGGTTAGATTCTAAAGTCAGCATTTTCAGGCAGAAATTGCACATAGTCAAAATCACCCTTGAAAATCTCTTAACATTTGCTAGCCTAGCAGTATATTTAAATTTGTGTATTCCTTGTGGTATTTGTAAATTCCCTCTGTAATAATTGATTTGGGAGCCACAGAAATAGACTACAGGAAAGAACAAAAGACAAGTTTGTGTGATGTCTGTACAGTCAAATCCTGCTTCTTTTTAAGGTAACCATCTACTGAGAATAGAGCCTGCTTATGGTGCATATTCTATCTTTGTTTTGTTATTTTTCTAGAACTTTCACATGTACTATTAGATTTGTTTCTTGCTGTGAGGATTTAATGAAGCACCTGGCTCAGGGTCATGCACCCAGTAAGCACTCGATAAATGAGCACAGGCTTGATCTGACACACACACTACCCTTTGCCTGTTGTCTTTCTGATCTGGTATGTCTGGTTGTGCTTCTGGAAAATGAACTGTGAGGCTCTTGCCCTTGGGTAGTGGTCTCCTTGAGAAAGTTGTGAAAGATGGGATCTGCTTTTAAAGTCAACTCAGAGGGTTACACCTAAGGAGGATGTGACTGCCCT